GATGAGACATACAATCTCCTTGCTACATTGTAAGTTGATGAGACATACAGTCTCCTTGCTACATTGTAAGTTGATGAGACATACAGTCTCCTTGCTACATTGTAAGCTGATGAGAGATTCAGTCTCCCTGCTACATTGTAAGCTGATGAGACATGCAGTCTCCTTGCTACATTGCAAGTTGATGAGACATACAGTCTCCTTGCTACATTGTAAGCTGATGAGAGATACAGTCTCCTTGCTACATTGTAAGCTGATGAGAGATACAGTCTCCCTGTTACATTGTAAGCTGATTAGAGATACAGTCTCCTTGCTACATTGTAAGCTGATGAGAGATACAGTCTCCTTGCTACATTGTAAGCTGATGAGAGATACAGTCTCCTTGCTACATTGTAAGCTGATGAGAGATTCAATCTCCCTGCTACATTGTAAGCTGATGAGACATGCAGTCTCCTTGCTACATTGCAAGTTGATGAGACATACAGTCTCCTTGCTACATTGTAAGCTGATGAGAGATACAGTCTCCTTGCTACATTGTAAGCTGATGAGAGATACAGTCTCCCTGCTACATTGTAAGCTGATGAGAGATACAGTCTCCTTGCTACATTGTAAGCTGATGAGAGATACAATCTCCCTGCTACATTGTAAGCTGATGAGAGACACAACCTCTTTGATACATTGTAAGCTGATGAAAGATACGATTTTTTATGCTAACATTTATTTTGATGAGACATACAATCATTACTCCACACTGTAAGTGAATGAGAAATACAATCTCTAATCTACATTGTCTAAATTTTCTGGGTTATCCCAGGTAATCTACACATATACTGCAATGTATAATGATTTATGCAATTGTATTTATGTATATCTGTACCTGAATAAATTTACTGCCATCCGTGTGTTTGCGAGAAGCCAAAGTTCCACTATAGAATAAACTGGACACTCACTGAAAAACATCAAAATATTGAGACAATGCAAAATAAGTGTTTGTTCAACTCTTCCAGAACCTCTATAAAAAAAATAAAACCCTCATCATATTGGTCAAATCCAAAAAAACAGTGAGACACTTGTACGGTATATCGAAAAAACTGAAATAAACAGATTTAAAATTTATTCGACGCGATCATAGAAGTGATGCTAATGTCTATTTATTCTGATTGCAAATGGCGTACTGCTAAAACGTTTCGGAACACGCTTTAAATCTGAGGCAACGTTTTGTTTTGCATGAAGTGGATAAAACTCTACTTCGAGGGGAGGACTTTGTCCTCATGTATGTAGTTTCTTCATCTGTCGAGCACGTTTCGCTCGCCCAGTTGTTTTAGATTACACAGAAAGTAGTCAAGACCCAACGTTAGAGATACACGAGTCTTCCAAAACTCTAACTTAGAGACAATCAAGTCTTATTGGTCCTAACTCTCAGGGAATAAGTTTCACTGGGCGCTAACTTAACGGAAACTTAATTCTTAGGGGAAACAAGTCTTACTGAACCCTTTATTTGAGGAAATAAGTCTTACTGAACCCTTTCTTTGAGGAAATAAGTCTTACTGAACCCTTTCTTTGAGGAAATAAGTCTTACTGAACTCTTTCTTTGAGGAAATAAGTCTTACTGAACCCTTTCTTTGAGGAAATAAGTCTTACTGAACCCTTTCTTTGAGGAAATAAGTCTTACTGAACTCTTTCTTGAGGAATAAGTCTTACTGAACCCTTTCTTTGAGGAATAAGTCTTACTGAACCCTTTCTTTGAGGAAATAAGTCTTACTGAACCCTTTCTTTGAGGAAATAAGTCTTACTGAACCCTTTCTTTGAGGAAATAAGTCTTACTGAACCCTTTCTTTGAGGAAATAAGTCTTACTGAACCCTTTCTTTGAGGAAATAAGTCTTACTGGACCCTTTCTTTGAGGAAATAAGTCTTACTGAACCCTTTCTTTGAGGAAATAAGTCTTACTGAACCCTTTCTTTGAGGAAATAAGTCTTACTGAACCTTTCTTTGAGGAAATAAGTCTTACTGAACTCCTTTCTTTGAGGAAATAAGTCTTACTGAACCCTTTCTTTGAGGAAATAAGTCTTACTGAACACTTTCTTTGAGGGAATAAGTCTTACTGAACCCTTTCTTTGAGGGAATAAGTCTTACTTAACCCTTACTTTGAGGGAATAAGTCTTATTAAAGCCTTGCTAGAGGAAATTAGTTTTATTGAACCCTAAGAAAAAAAGTCTTACTAATCCCTAACTTAAAGGAAATAAGTCTTACTGAACCCTTACTTAGAAGAAATTAGTCTTACTGAATCTTTACTTACGGGAAATAAGTTTTGCTGAACGCTAACTTAGAGAAGACAAGTCTTACTGAATCCCAACTTAAAGGAAGCAAGTCTTACTGAACCCTAACTTCAAGATAATTAACTTAGACATATAATAAACTTACGTAGAGATAACTTAAAATAAATTTAAGAGATAAAGTGAACAGTTGACAAATCTAAGGTATAACCTCAAAAAAAAAAAAAAGATTTGGACATAACTAGACTTCTAGACTTCCTTCAGTTCTTGTTTTTACGACCTTTTTTGCTCAGGTAATTTGGTATATATGACAACTCTAATAATTGCTTTTAATAGAATATAATTAGTGGTGTCCAAAGTTTTGATGTTGAACAAATATGGAATTCTAATTAATTTTGTAGAGCACTGATCTGTGTGTGTGTGTGTGTGTGTACTCACCTAATTCAGCAAATTGTGGTTGCAGGGGTCGATTCATAGCTCCTGGCCCCGCCTTTTCACTGGTCTCTACTAGGACCACTCTCTTCCTGCTCCATGAGGTTCATCGCACCTCTTCTTAAAGCTATGTATGGATCACTCTTCAGATTGTTCCACTTCCTGACAATTCTATGGCTGAAGAAATACTTCCTAACATTCCTGTGCCTAGTGCGTGTGTATGTGTCTAAGGGAATGTATATAACCGCTTATACCTACACAAATTTCCATTGATTTTGGGCGTAGCTGAGAGAGCTGAGTGACACACAAGGTTGACTTTCACACAAAAATATAAATTTGTCAAGAATGTTCTCAGTTTCCTTTTCGTTCAACATTTAGTTGTTTCGCTGATCTTCATGTTGCTCTCACTAAATAATTCGTGTCTACTTTCACTCGTCTTGCTTTCGTGTGAGTGGGTTGGGTGGTTAGTGGGGCGTCAAACCTATCTATTACACGAGGGTCGTTAATTAAGGCTACATGTCACCACCAGTCAAGAATATTTTAATCAGTGAAATAAGAATCAAAACAATCTCTCCAGAATATATTGAGAGTAATGTACCTCTCAATATATATATTCGACGTTTCGCCCTTTCGGCCTTTCTACCTTTTCTAAAGAAAATCCCCTAAGGTAATTTTGCATTACTGAGGCTGCTGCTACTTTCTTTACACTTTCGCTATTTTCTTCATGCTTTCGTTGCTTTTTTCACATACTTTCCCGGTTTTCTTCACCTCAATAGGTTGTCTTCCCTGTGTGTCTCCCTCAGAGGGTGTCAAGGAGCTCTCAAACTCACCATTAGGGAACGAAGCCTTGGCTCCCCAGCAGGCAGAGTAATGGGGAAGCAGAAGTTGCATGACGAATGGAAAAATGGGAAAGTGTACCTGAATGGGGCGATATATCTGAATATATATATTATATAATATATATTATATATATATATAATTATATAATATATAATATATATTTATAATATAAATATATATATATATATATATATATATATATATATATATATTATTATATAAACAAAAATGATGACAATTATGAGCGTCCTAATTTTATTGACTCTGTTTATTATTTTTATATGCTGTGTAAGCGCTAAAACAAAAGGATCATGTAGGGTAAATGGAAGGGGTGAGGATAATGAGGTTTTATGCTTGGTACGGGGAGGGGGGTACCTTTTGATGGCTGATGGGCTTAAGAGCGTACTTTGCGTAGGTACCGGGTCTGCTTTTTATGCGTGTGTAGCTTTCGTAGGGTAGGTGAGGATGGGTTTCTTTAGTTGATGGTGTGGTTTGTGGTGGTTTATGGTAGAGCTGTGTGTTGGTGGTGGTTGTGATGGTGTTGTGGGTTTGCTGGTGGTGTTGGTGGTGGTTTATGTGGTGGTGTTGGTGGTGGTTTTGGTGGTTGTTTATGTGGTGGTGTTGCAGGTTGTGTTCTTGGTTGTTTATGTGGTGATGCTGAAGGCTTTTATGTGATGGTGTTGTGGTGGTGTTGGTGATGGTGTTGGTGGTTCTTTATATTGTGGTGCTGGAGGTGGTTTATGTGGTGGTGTTCGTGTTTGTTTATGTGATGGTTTTGAAGGTTTTTTATGTGGTGGTGTTGGTGGTGGTGCTGGTGGTGGTGCTGGTGGTGGTGCTGGTGGTGGTGCTGGTGGTGGTGTTGAAGGTTTTTTATGTGGTGGTGTTGGAGTGGTTTATGTGGTGGTGTTAGTGGTTTTTTATGTGGTGGTGTTGGAGGTGGAAGTGATGTTGATAGTTGCGTGTAGTGGAAGATGTGGTAATATTGGTGGGTGGATGTGATAGTGTTGGTGGCTGAGAGAGTGGTGGTGGTGGTGGTGGAGACGAGTGGCCGGGTTTGGTGGTGATGGTGGTGGTGGTAATGATGCTGGTGATGCTGGGTCATCATCATCTCTCCAGCAGTTGAACAAGTGAAGAGGTGGTCGTCTCGTGAGTGTGATTTTACTAGAGCTTTACTAATGCTCATCAGTTCTTCCTCAGCAGGTAGATGGGAGCTCCAGCAGGATCATCTATCTCTACAACTCTACTGCTAACACTTCTTTGACTAACACCTCCTCCCTGACAACACCTTCTCTCTAAATAGCACCTCGCTAACTAACACCTCTCCCCTCAAACAGAGAGCCTTCATCTGAGATTTTCCCTTTGATGATTACGAGTCATCTCTTACCTGACTAATACCTCCTTCGGCAACACCAGCTAACACCACCTCCCTCACTAACACCTGCTCCTCCCTCCCACAGGTAGAGGGGCGGGAGGGCCGTCGTCTAGACGTGCTAGGAGTAACTCTAGCCGCGTCTGACGTGTACAGATGTGAGCTGGTAGCTGAGGGGCCACCCTTCCACACCACGCAACGCTCAGCCAACATGACAGTAGTAGGTGAGTCTAACTAGGTGAGTCTAACTAGGTGAGTGTAACTAGGTGAGTGTAACTAGATGAGTGTAACTAGGTGAATCTATGTCTAACTAAATGCCATGAGGTACTAGTATTAAAACGAATTTAATCCCTGTAACATCAAGCAATGATTATAAATCCGGTAAGTGTGCCAAGTATATCAGGTATACCAAGGGATACTTGGTAATGTACAGTCCTAAGTGAGCCGTCGTAATGTAAGACTTCCCCGTAAATATAATGTTTGACTACTTGTGGTATTACTCCATCTTTCATGCACTACTACTATTACTTCTACTACTACTATTATTATTACTACTACTACTACTACTACTACTACTACTACTGCTACTACTACTACTACTACTACTACTACTACCACTGTTACTACTACTACTACGACTACTACTACTACTACTATTACTACTACTACTACTACTACTACTACTACTGCTGCTACGACTACTACCACTACTTCTGCTACTTCAACCCTCCTCTATATTTTCTCATGGTGCTCTTGTCCTGTATGCAATGGCTTGAAAAAAAGCCTGATGGCGAAGCATTGTCCCAGTATAATGTCTAATTTATTGCCAGCAATACTACCAATCGTTACACAAAACTTAATGCTGATCCTCTCAACATGACGAAGAGCATTGCCTGTTTCCAACAGCAAATTAGTTTTGTGGATTATTCTCAACAGGTTCATCCACAGAGATTACATTCGAATGCGTTGAAATTTAGATATGTTCTTCTGAATGGAGTGTGCTTCGGTTCCAGCCGATTGAGAGGCTGTGTCTCATTTAAAGCCTGTCCCGTGGAACGCAGATGCTGAAAAACTCGTTTAGTCGCCTCGTTCTGTGTAGTTCATTCAGTTCTGGCTGTGCCAGGGAATTGATGAGTAAGACACAACAGCATTTGGCCATCGTTACTGGAGAAATGTTTTCGGCCTACAGGGCAGCCTTCCTCAGTCAAACACCGAGGTGATTACTGGAGATGGTAGAAGTAGTGAGGCAATTTTAAAGGGGCGTGACCACTTTTTCATGACTGTAGGGACTGATCACCTCAGATTTATCTTCCCACTTCCACTCTCTCCGATAATGTAATCACCTCTCTATTCGACTGATGGAGCCTGCCACGCAGGAGAAACGCTTCGTTCATAAAGATACGTCAGTGTGCCACATATGTCTTGGTCGTCAACTGGAAACTATTCGTGGCATTAAACCACGCAGTGAAACGGGAAGATGTTACTCCACACAGATTTCCCACCTTCGTGAACCGCTACTGAAAACACTAGACAGTTCAGAAACAACTGTTCCCTTGAGTGGTTCACCACAGTCAGCAGTTACAAACTGTTGTTGCTTTTAAGACAGTTTTATTTGCAGGCTACGAGCTATTTTACATCGTTAGATCATTTGAATTGCCCGATCTTGTCTGAGGTACACAACAGCCCCTCCCCCAGGAAGCCACCTACAACAGTCTAACACCCCAAGTACCTATTTACAGCAATGTCACCATAAGCAGAAGGTGGAAGGAGACTTCTCCATTCATCTCGGATCATTGTATCTGCGTGTGGAGAGATAATTCATTTGCATAGTTTTTTTTATTTTGTCTCTCTTGCGACTCAAAAACACTTTTTTTTTTTAATGTTTTGATAAAAGCCAGAAATAATTGCACTTTTTGAACCATGCTTTTATATTACCTGTAAATTAATGTGTTTTTTATAAACATGCTTTGATAAAAGCTGGAAATGAATGTTGAAAAGCTCGTCTATGCTAGGAAAAAAAACTGAGGTACCTTGACCGAGCACAGAGAGAGAGAGAGAGAGAGAGAGAGAGAGAGAGAGAGAGAGAGAGAGAGAGAGAGAGAGAGAGAGAGAGAGAGAGAGAGAGAGAGAGAGAGAGAGAGAGAGAGCAAATAACCATTCAGGAAGAATATAACTGGTATTCAAGACGTTATTCGCTATTTTTTTCCAAAACGTGCACAAATTTTTTTTCTTAAGACAACGTTTCACTCATGACAGAGAGTTGCCAGTTCATGACAAAGCCCTACACAGAGCGAAACGTTGTCACAGTTATCTGTTTCAATTGAACGCTATTTTTTTCTTTGAATGATGTTGAACTCTCGCGAAAGAGGGGGTGTTCGAACCCATGGCAACCAGTCATAAAACTAGCAGGCAAGTGAGTCACCAACTGTACCATGCTGGCCTGATAAGATACGCCCAACTATGTGTTTTTTCTATACTCTAGGAAAGTTAGTAAGGGCCACCACTGTGACCACAATGCAAGGTTTTTTAAATGTTCTAATTCAAGCCCCTTCTAAGATTTTATTAATGACTCGTGGAATCATAATAATGACACGAGTGTCAGCGATGCATTTATGTCATTTCGTTTTTGTTCGTATCGGTTAGGTTAGGTAAGGTTCGTGTTTCCTAACGACCAGCAGCTGGAGGTTTCGGCCGTTTGACCGAGGCCTTCCGCTGGCTTGTCGGTCCACCCCTTTAAAAATTATGGTCCTAGTTATAACCATTCAGTGAGTAATTCACTCGTTTCTTGTAATAACTATCTTCCTTCCATCCTACACTCGTCTCGTGTAATGACTATCTCCCTTCCATCCTACACTCGTCTCGTGTAATGACGATCTCCCTTCCATCCTACACTCGTCTCGTGTAATGACTATCTCCCTTCCATCCTACACTCGTCTCGTGTAATGACTATCTCCCTTCCATCCTACACTCGTCTCGTGTAATGACGATCTCCCTTCCATCCTCCACTCGTCTCGTGTAATGACTATCTCCCTTCCATCCTCCACTCGTCTCGTGTAATGACGATCTCCCTTCCATCCTCCACTCGTCTCGTGTAATGACTATCTCCCTTCCATCCTACACTCGTCTCGTGTAATGACGATCTCCCTTCCATCCTCCACTCGTCTCGTGTAATGACTATCTCCCTTCCATCCTCCACTCGTCTCGTGTAATGACGATCTCCCTTCCATCCTCCACTCGTCTCGTGTAATGACTATCTCCCTTCCATCCTCCACTACTAATGCTGCTGACTATTGATCAGAGAGAACTTACGCATTTATGGCACTTTTGTAAAACATACGCCCCGGGGCTCATTAAATACTCGTTCTAGCTATTCTATAGCCTATTTCCTGTGCCAGTCTCCTGAAACAGTTGCAGTCATCATATGAATAAGAGAAATCGTAATTACCATAACAAATATTACCCAGAATCCTCAGTAATAACCCACATAGAGACAGAAACTCAAAACAACCGTGTCGAAAGAAGGTGTATACATCTGGAGGGCATATGGAAATGCCTCTGGACAGCAATCGGACAGAATGCGATCAGAATTTGGGAAGCATTGCTCTCGTTAAAAATTAAACTGTCTATCGCAGACAACTCTGCGACATGGTTATCATTACACGTGTGGTACACAATAACATATAATCCCGGGGTAACTTTGGAAAAATAAACAAATCCAGTACAATGCGATCCTTGACTGACTTTATTGATCTGTTTGTGACTTAATAAAACCCAATGTGTGGACGGAATGTAGTCAATAAAGAATAGATTTACACTGCATTTTATTTTTTCAACGTGCCAGTTATTTTATAGCATTTATCTCCACCTGGGCAACTTTATTGGAGTAAAGCTGATGGGAACTCTGCTTTATTTACACTTTACTGCCACTTCAGGCCTCTACGTGAGGTTAATAAAGCCTTCTGTGTTAGGTAATATTTCTTCAATAAAGACAACCAGGTGTTACACATCTGTCATATTCCCCAACTTGAGAATAAAAAAAAACACAACACCGTGGCTGGAACAATTCACGAACAGCCCACATTTAAACCACGGTACGGGTGGGGCTCGAACTCACCGCACGTGAGTCGTATAAAAATCTCACTCGCTTGCCGTGTGAGTCGAATTATTACGATTTCGTGAGTTAAGCCCACATTTTGGAGAGGAAATTTGTGACGACGTTTCCCTCCGTCCTGAAATACTGAAAAAAAAAAAAAACAAATGAGAGAATGAGAGATTTTTTTTACCGATGCTCCACTTCCCAAAATTTTAATTCCGGGTGATGGTGAGGCGTTTCTGAATCATACACAGCATCTGCTGCATCTGCCACTCTGGCACATCTTGACTAATGCTTCCATCTTGAGGCACTGGCACTGAGTTATCACCTGCTGCTAGTGTGCCTGACATATCACCTGCACCTCTGTAGGGCCAAAGGTGTTTTCTCTTCCCGGTGGTTCAAGAAATGATGAAAAAAAATTACACACATGTGCAATATCTGGGTCTCTAATGTTATTGAAACCTTAATGTAAGCCAGAGGAAGGCTTCGATCAGATGACCAAAAGCTCCAGCTGCTGGGCCATCATATGACTAAGACCCGCTTCAGGAAACGCTTGTCCTGTTTCCTGACAAAGCTTACTAACCTAACTAATCTGGGTATCTTTATATGTAGACGTTTCGTTATCCAGTGGATTTATCAGTACAAAGACATAATGTGAAGAACGTAGAATTGTATACAAAAGATGAGGTAATCAGTCCTTCAGGCTGAGGGAATTTATATAGATCTACAGTCTTCCAATTATGTCCTTGAATTTGTATTGATAAAGCCATTGAAGGGCGAAACGTCTACAGTAAAGATACCCAGATGTTGTACATGTGTCTAATTCTTCGTCTTCTCGGCACTTCACACCATTTATGTTTAGCAAGAAATGATGTGTGTGAGTGGTTGTTAATGACCTAACTACCTCGACGTTTGCCAAGGCACTGAATGGCCCTTGAGGAATTAGAACTCACCCATCAATATAATTATCTGAAATGTATGATAATTAAAACCAATTATCATATAATTACATGGTATTATGCAATTATTAATGCTCTGCTGCCATTGCCTCTGCCAGCATCTCCTTTGTAGTGCGACCACCAACAGCCTGAGTGATCAGAGACCTGGCCACGACTTGTGGATGGAGGATCG